TTATGCAGGATATCTGGTGGACATGAAAAGAACGTCTGGAATGGCACATTTCCTGGGTTCTTGCCTAATCTCATGGGGTACAAGGAAGCAGAACTCAGTGGCACTCGCAATTGCAGAAGCAGGATATGTCGCAGCTGCCTCTTGCTGTGCTCAACTACTGTGGATCAAACAGCAGTTGGAAGACTTTGGAGTGTTCTCAAATTGTGGCCTCTCTTATGTGATAACACAAATGCACTCATATGGTAAAAAATCCAGTTCAATATAAGAGGACCAAGCACATTGATGTACGTCATCATTTTCTCAGAGATAATGTTGAAAAGGGGCATATATACATGAAATTCTGTAGAATTGAAGATCAAATTGCAGATATATTCACCAAAGCCCTGAGTAGAGAACCCTTTGAGAAAAATCGCCTGGCACTAGGGTTGATAAAACCCAATTGAGAACCTGACCCCTCAATGATTGGCTATGAAAGAAATGTTCAGGTAAATTTAGCTAAAAAGCGTTTTCTGGAAAATTCTAAATCACCTATATACCGTTACAAGTAGACACACATGATGATTACAGAGAAAATAGGCAGTTGATGCAGTACGCGCTGGTAAAAAGGGCAAAGCTTACAGATGCAAGATTAGTCAGGGAACCTGGTTCTCTTGACACAGGTTAGTAGTTTCTTTGTTCTCTCATGCACAATTTTTAACGGTTAAAATAAGTGCCAAATCATCAAGTTACTTTTTCTTTGCGTCCTTTGAACCCAAACGTCTCACCTATTGAGAACCGACCCAACTCCCAAAATTGTCGCCCTTTCTTAACCGGTCCCTCATCCATCATAAATACATATATCACTATCACAACTCCTCCCATCAAATTTCAAAACCACATTCTTCTGCCTTTCTTTAAACTGCCAAAATCCCTTATCTTCTTCTCACCATGGCTGAAAATCAAACAACATCAAGTGTTCTAAGCGACATCCCCATTGAGTCCTCACCTGTTGAAACACCGATATTAGGCTCCTGACCCCAAACTACTGCTAGCCAAAATCCTAGGACAGAGCCACCCCCACATTCTGTCTCATCTCCTACCCACTCGAGTTCTAGTTCTCATAGGAGTACCAAAATCTCGACTCCCAAAAGATTTGTAGCCCAAAGCCCTTCTCCTACTTCGCCGAAAAAAGGGGATGAACGGAGTATTGCTGACAAAGAAGTAAATCAGGAAATTTCAAGTTTGCCTATGAAAGAAGGGTCAAGGGTAGATCAAACTGATGGTTCCGAGAAGTTTGACTCAACAAAGAGTGCTCCTGATCTTGTGTCCACAGGTAACACTCCTTCCTCTACTGAGTTTTCCATGGATGTACAAGAGAAAGAGGCAATAGAGAACATGCTATCCATAGCTAATGAAGGGGTTGTTATAGAAGGAGGTGATGATGTTTTTGGGACTCAGGGGGAAGAGTCTAAGACTATGGAAGAGGGTAGTGAGCTTGTGCCTGTTGAACAATCGGCACATGACAATACTACTGGGGTACCAAATGAGGGACCTGTTCCCTCCCAGGAGGATCCAACTTAGGTGTCCTCTCAAGAGCCCCAGGTCAGTATTGACCTTGTTCCCTCTCCTCATTTTGATGCTGAGCCTTTGTGTGTGGTGGTGCCGGAGGAAAGATCTGTGTCCAGAGAATAAAAAGGTGATAGTGAAGAGGATTCTAATGATTTGCCAATAGCAAGCCTGACTAAGCATAGACCAATGGCTGCTCAAGAGTCTACTCCTAAGCGACCCACTACTAGCTTGCAAAGGAAGGAGGCTCTTGAGTCTGCTCTTAAAAACAGCCAAGCTAAGTCAAGGAGAAGAAAGTTGGTAAAAGATGATAAATCAATGAATGAGAAGTCAGTACCTGTGGTGAATGTGGATGAGTGAGAAGCCGAGGAACCTGGTTCCTTGACTAGAAAGCTTTCACAGAAGCATGGTCTCCCCAAGCCAAAAGGGGATTTTCTGTGTCTGCTGAAAATCTGAACAAGTCTGATGACTTTGTGTCTAGTGAAAATATAGTGAAAGAATCTGGTGGTAAGTCTGTGGAAGAGTCTGGTGATGGTGTCATGGAAGAATTGGGTGAAAAGTCTATGAAGTCTGCTGAAAAAGGGAAGAATGTTTGCAAGTCTGCTAAGAGAAAAGCTGATATTGATTAGGAACCTGGTTCCTCAAAGAAGGCTAGAGTGGTTGGTCCAAGGAGTGCTGGGAAAGAGAGGTTGAGAAGTCAAAAGGTTCTATGGGGCCGCACATTTGGCCCCTGATATCTTGGAGGAGGCTGGTATGAGACAGCTGGTTGAGATCTGCGAGTTCCAACAATGGACACATTTGTTCACAAATGATGCTCCAATGGTGTATGAAGAGGAAGTTCAAAGTTTCTATGTTGACCTAGTTAAAGTTGAGGATGATCACATATGTGTGTTGGTGAATGGAGTTGATATGGTAATGGACTCTGCCTTGTTGGGGTCCATTTTGGTGTGCCTGCTGAAGGGCTATCTAGTGTTCATGGATCCTGTTCTCAAAACTTCATAAATGCCATATTATAGGACAGAGCGGTTCAGCAGGGGGAACGGGTTCAGGAGAAGGCCCTCCTTCCTATATATCAATTGTTGTTTGAGATGGTGAACAAGGTACTACAGCCTCAAGCTAAGAGAAGACCTATCACCTCTCGTGTAGACCTGTTCCTTATGGAAGCACTGGACAACTTCACTACCATCAATTTTCCTGGGATTATGATAGAGCACATGAACAAAGTCGCAGACTTTAAAGATGGTAATCATGGGTTGTCGTATGGGTTCCTTCTCACCAAGGTCTTTAAGCACTTCAAGATTCCTCTGAGACAAGATAAAGTGGGCACAAAGAAGCAAACTTTCTCCAAAGCTACTCTTGAAGAATGTGAGTGTAACGAGAAAGTTGGAGGGGTTGGAAGCACTTCTACCATATCTCACCTGATCAATACTCAGAACAGTGCTACTTCGGAGACAAGGCAATTGAAAGCAAGGAATGCTATCCTTGAGACTCAGTTAAGTCAGCTGCAGGAGACACCTAGTTCCAGTAGTTCTCAAGGAGAAGAGGTTGCTCGTCTGACAAAAGAGAATCACTACTAGAAATTGGAGCTATGGCAATGCTTTTTATTGCTACGGATCAGTAACCGTTGCTATAGGTAGTCTATTACGGTTTTAACCGTTACAAAATATTATTGGAACTACCAGGACACTTAGCAACTGAACCGTTGCAATAGTCTTAAAACCGTTCCGATAGAGGTATATATGGCAACGTTTTGTAGAACCGTAGCAATAAATCAAGCTATGGTAATGATTATATCTATTGTTACGGTTATTAATTCCCACCTTATTTTTCACCCAAATTTTCTATACCCGCTAAAATGAAAGGGGCCCACCATCTGATTTTTAATTTTTATTTTTATACCTAATAAAATACTACTATGAAATATGTAAACCCCTAAAATTAGGGTACAAGCTCACTATCGGAATTACAAGGAGATCGGAATCTCCTCCAGTCATCTTCACCACCAAAAATCAGCAAAAACTACCCCAAATCACCTTGAAATCAGTCAAAAAGAAGCCCCAAATACCCCAACGAAAATCAGTCAAAAAGACCTCAAAACAGTCACCTCTGAAAATCGGTCCAAATTTCACTCAAGCGGTCAAAACGCTGCAGAGATAGCCATTAGAGCAGCTCCAAATTAACATCTCCTCCAATACAATCTCCTCCAGTCAACAGCTCTTCTCGCTTGTCAGCGCCATTACCGACTCGCTCGCTCTCCGTAAGTTTTCTGGAGTAGTATTTTACTTTTCATTTTCAGTTCCTCCCTGTTTGCTCAATTACTCAAAATTCATTTTCCTTTCAAAAACCCTAGCATCGAGTTTCTACTTATTTACTAGTTCGCATCGAGTTTCTACTTCGTACGTGTAATTCGGGTAACCTTCAGCTCTTCTTGAGTATTATTTTCTGAAACTCTTAATATTTTTTGATTTGGTAACTGTTATTTTTATATTTTATCTCTTACAGTAATTAATTTTTTAACTCGTACTATTTTTTTCAGCTGCATACACCGTGGTTTCCCCTTTTATATGGTTTTGCAGATCTGTTGTATTCCTATCGATTTGTCAAAGTTCATGTTTATTTTGTTTATTAACTCGATTAATTGACTGTCCTTGTAAAAAAATTGGGAACTATTTGGAACAATGGTTGTGAGCATCTAGTTAGAAAGAGCAGACATGTTTCAATACTTGGGAAACTTATTGGCGTGGAAAAGAATGGGAGCTAAAGATTTACTTTGCAGAATCTGTTTGATTTCTGCTATTTCCAATGCATTTTTCTGCTATTGTAATTATTTTTGTTGGGGTCGAAAATAATTTCCAGTGCAAAATTATTGGTTGTGGAACTGTTTTATTTTTTTGTTGGTAATTTGGTTGTGGATATGTTGTTATTGGAGTTGTTATGTCCTTTTGGCTGCTGGAAATGGTCGTATCATTAATAGATAATTTGTGGTTTAGATTTTAATTAGATAAAGGTGCAGGATAAAAGTTTAAGCTTGGAATACTTTTAACTGCTACATTTGCAACTTAAAGGGAATTAAGATTCCTTACTTGTAATGAAAGCGACTTTCAATTTAACTTTACCAATTAGAATGAGATTTATGTTCATATAATTATGCCTATTTTCAATATATTTATGCTGCTTGATCAAAATGCAGAATTCGCTAGACCCCGCCTTGAAAGAAGTATTATGATTGTAGATTAAGGCAAAAATTGAAATATGAATCTAAAATCTAAATGCTACTTGCCCCTTCCTTTGCTATACCACCTTGTCGTGTTAACGAACCATATCCTTGAGTGTTTAGCTCGTTTAAATTCTGGACAGGTTCATCACTTAACTCGTCTTCCCTCATCGTGTCTTCATGTTGTTCTCTTGTGTGGTCAGCCCCTCTTTCTGGTTGTTTTGTTGTCCGACGCATCATGGATAAAGTTTGTTTACCAGCTGTAGTTTTAGAATCAGAAGTTTCTGCAGCTGGTTGATGTCTCAACATAGCCTGTAGCTTCTGATATCTGCTTCTAAAAGGTAGTACTAGCATCAGTACTTATTTTAGTTGCGCTTTCTAGGGGAAATTTCCATAGTACTTTGATTATCTTCATCTGCGGAGTAGCCATTTCAGCTTGTGTAACCAAAGTATTCTAGGGAGTAGTGACCTCAATCTGGCTGAACTGTTTATGGAGGATGATGGTTGCATCACAACAAATTTGTTGGATAGCTCTTGTTACATAAATTCTTTCACATTCATATTTTCTTTTTGCATCTTACTTTCCGTATATGCCAATGAATAAGAAGGGGGATAGCCCATCTTCTGGATATTATCATCAGTGGACGATATCATCAGTGCTATTATCAGTTGCACCCTCCAACACTTCAGTACCATATGTTCTTGCAATTCATGATTCACAACTTTAACATTAAGATCAGCTGGTTTTATTAGTTAAATTACCAGCTGTAGCAGTAGGATGATCCAGCTTATTTTAAGCTTGCACGACTGGCTTCTCAGCTGGGTTTTGCCGTATTTTTGGGTTGGTTTCGGAAGGAGAATTGCTGAATTTTGCAGAAGCTTTGGGAAGGTAATTTCTTTAGCTGTTTTGCTGTATTTTTGGGCGATATTTGCATCTGTTTTGCTGTATTTTTGGGCGATATTTGCAGCTGTTTTAGATCTAGTTGTCCTGAACACCTGCCTTAGAATGTAATATCTGTGTCATTTTGTCCTTTGAATATTCTAACTGTTTCGGCTTTGCATACTTCTTGGGTGATTTAACTGTTTCTGCTTTGCACACTTCTTGTCCTCTGAAGTACCTTTTAATGGCATTTGAGATCGGTACACTCTAAAGTCTATGCCATGATTTTGGTTCAAATATCAAACCTAATTAGTTATTTAAGCAGAACTTCAATGGAAAATCGAGTTATATGCCTTGACAATACTCTCCTGGGACACTCTAAAGTCCCCCATTCTTGATAATTGTTTCGTCACTGTCCCCTCTTCTCCCGCATCTCTTCAACAGCACTCGCCGCAATCTCAATTATCAATTTGATTTAATGATTTTTGCTTATGTGCATATTATGTGTTTGTGAAAATTCATCGATTTACTGATTACCATCGATGTCTATTCTAAAATGGTCGTTGTGTATGAGCCGACGCTATATGTATATTTCCGTTTCTGCCTCAGAAAATTTTCCATTGGTTCTTTAAAAAGCTACTTGAATCAGATATGGAGATGATACATTGCCTGTAGGAATTACGTAGCTGCGGAATCCAGTACAGGGCTGCTCAGTTACCAATCTTGCCATCCTCTGGAGTTGATACATTGCCTGTAGGAATTACGAAACTGCTAGATAGATCTAAAGGTGACTTCCCAGCTAATTAGTCAAGTACAAGAGTATTAAACCTCCATGAATGAGAGTAATAGCATACGTTTGACACCATAGTTTTATTAATACATACATGAAGCACAATTTACTTTTGAAAAATAATGTCAGAAGTCTTATTCCATTATTCTCAAATAGAATTTGTCCGAACAGGAGTTCCACCATCAGTTACTAAAAACCTGCACACATCTCTGTGGTACATTCTTATGAATGCTGAAGATCTATGGACAATGGATGTCTGGAGGATAGAGAAGGCTCTCAAAGGTTGCCAGTCCCGTAAATCATCTCTCTGTTGTTGGAAATTTCGTCGGTGCTTTGCTTGGTGCATCCATGGGACTAAAAGAAGGCCCAATATTCTTCTATGCTGTTGGATTGGCTCATTATTTGGTCCTATTTGTAACTCTTTACAAAAGACTTCTTATTTCATTGCTCTCTTCCTTTATTTCTCACTGGTAAGTCATTATGCTAGGCAGATTTAGCTTTCAAATACATCATTAACCATTCTAGTCAGCCACGAGTAGAACAACATCTCTAATTATTTTTGAAAGGTTTATTAACAGTTTCTTTGTCAAGGTTCTTATGTGTAGCTACAAGCTATATTATTCGTGAGAATGCTGTTCAAGTGTTAGGCTAATCCTTTATTCTTGTCCCTTTACAAGTTGTTCGTATTAATTTCTTTCGAGGCTTCAGGTATGAGAAATTTGCCTTTGTCCTGAAAAGCTCTCTTATTCCTCTTCACCTTTGGCTTAATGTGAAATGCTTGTCTCATTTGTTAACTTCAGGTTTTCATTGNCTCTCCATTCACAGTAGCAACTTCATAACCTACTGCATTATCAGGTTTTTTATTTGTAGCAATACCAGTTCGATTCCCTCCTGTTACTGTCACTATATCACTGCCATTACCTCGTTCATTCAACACTCTATTTCCTGCTTCTATAGCCATAGCTTGAGACATCCTAGCTAAGGCACGATCCATAGGAACAATAGCAACATTTTTAGATATAACAGAGTTATTGAAAATCTGAGCACCAGCATTAAAATTAGCATCAGTTAACATTGCTTTTGATCCATCTGTTGTTTCTGCCTCAATTTCACCTTGAACATTTAAAACCTGCTGTTGCAAAACTTGCTGCTCGACCAAAATTTTCTTTTTTGCTGCTTCATCAACCAGCTTATCACCTGCTATTTCCATAGATCTTTGATTCATTCTTTTGGCATTCAAGTAGTCCCTAGCATCACCTTGCAACTTCTCAAGATTTGTGATGTTACCTTGCCGGACGCTGGAGTTGTGGCTCTTGTATGTCCATTATTATTTTTTTCTTTTTTGATCAATTTATTTAGTCTAGGCATTCCAGATGAAAGGTAATGACTTTATTTATCCTCTTTTGTAGGTGGAGTAGATCAAGAAATAGAAGATGAAGGCAATGAAGATCTAGACCTTACTTAAGATGAATTTTGAATTGCTATAGATGAATGTTCTAGGAATCTTTTGTTGTCAACATTTTGAAACTTACTATCTTGAAATGTATTAAACTTATGCACTTGGGGTAGAACATTTACTTTTATGGATATTATTAGCCTGTTGGACGAGTTATATTATTAATAATTTCATTAGTTGATTTATTTAAATTTTAGTTTTATATATATATATATATATATATATATATATATATATATATATATATTATTACAATAGGAGCTATATTTCTGTTTTATATGAACTGTTACAATAGCCTATCATAACTGTTGCAATAGGACACAAATGGCGTTCCATTAGAATGTAAACCGTTCCAATAGATCCAGTAAACCGTTCCAAAATGCCCTCTAAACCGTTCCAATAGGTATTTAAAACCGTAGCGATACAAAAACAACCGTTACAATAGCTTAAAGAGACCGTTGTTATATCCATAAATAACCATAATAATAGCTTACGAAAGTGTTGCATTAGATAATATGGTAACGGTTATGAGCCGTTGCATACACATTATAGTAACGGTTTTAAACCGTCCCAATTGGAAGGAATAATCGTTCCAATAGAGAAAAGGAAAACCGTTGCGATAGACGTCTCTATAGCAACGAATATGAAAACCGTTCCAAGAACCGTTCCTATAGCTCTATTGGCACGCGAGCGGATGCGACGGTCTTTAAACCGTTTCAATATTGCTACGGCAACGGTTTATCTACCTACTGGAATGATTTTCCATGCGTTACCAAAGACCAATTTTTCAGTAGTGAATGCTGAGCTTAGGAAACAAGTGGAGGACCTGAAAGAGAGACTGCTCAACGAGCAAATGTCAGCAAATGCTCGAATGGATTTAGTCCTCCAAACCCTTGCATCTGCATCTAAGCCCTCTCCTTCCAGTGCTCCCTAAACAACATCCCCCCAGTGTCCAGTCTTTAGTGATTAGTGTATTCCCTCAATGTCAGTTTTTATGGTAATGTTTATGGAATTTTTTTAATTGTTCTAAATTGTGGATGGTGGTAGTAACATTGACTCTGCTCCTGTTGAAAAATCCAAATTATGTTAATGCAAGTTTTTCCCTTTTTGCTATCTATGCCTTGTCTTTATGCTATGTTTTTAGTCATGTTGTGTGCACACAAGTGGCATGAGTTAACTCACGCAAGACTTCTTTTTGCTATAAGCTTGTTGCTATTCTTTTTATGATGCCAAAAGGGGGAAGAATAATGTGCATAATTGAATGCACTGATTAAGGGGGAATACAGATTTAGGGGGAAACTGAAGGTTTTTCTGGTTCACTGTCTGGTTATGTGCGGCTTTTTCTGGGATTTTCAATTATAAGTTTGTCATCATCAAAAAGGGGGAAATTGATAGGTTACAAGTACCTTGTTTTATGTTTTGATGATCTAATAAACTTACTGTCAAGAACCAGGTAAGGAACCAGTTACGTATCCTCAAGACCTTAAGATCGAAAGGTCCAGCTAGGGATATGCTTCAACTCTTCGGAGTCAGAGGAACAACAAAGGGAACAGATAGCCATCGTTTCCCGAGGAAACTGCATAAGTCAACTGCCCCAGCTGTAAAGTTGTTGTCTGCACACGCTACAGTGCAGAAACAGTGCAGCAGTCAACTTTATGGGGAGGGTCTTTTACCTACCTTGCTTACATCATCCCAAGTGATACCACAAATGTATTGTTAACATCAAGGAAGGTAAAACAAAGATTTCAACACTTACATAATACACAAAAAAAGCACTCTCACGTGATTGATCATCCAGCAAGCAATTCTCAAGTACATCAAGAACAAAGAACAACACGACTACGGACCAGTTCCCATATAAGGTTATTATATGTCCTTAGTTGAGTTGTAACTTTGTAATAGTTCTTCAAGTGTAATTCCTACTTAGCTTGTTTAGAAGTATTATGTAGGAAACCCTTTGTAAATCTTAAACCCTTGTGTTTGAGTCTTGGATAGAGTTAGTCGAGTTGTAAAGTCTTTGTAATAGAGTTATTACAAAGTGGAATTGTAATCTAAAAGTTTCTCAGTAGTGAAGTTGAAATCCTACGAGGGTTGGTCGTGATTTTTAATCCCGTTGAGCTGGGAATTTTCCACGTAAAATTCCTCTTGTCATTTACTTACTGCAGTGTGCGTGTATTCTGTTGAACCTGATAGAGAACCTGGTTCTCTATAGAGTTTGGTGGACCCTTAAAATATATCAAGTGTAATATAATCTTGCAAGTGAGTGGGAAGCTTGCGTTGTCTCCCAGATCTCCTAGGCTTTAGAATTGGTGAAAGATCTTGTAAGGTGATGTCAGGTAAGTCTTGTGAGGTGACAATAGGAGAGCCAGAAGGCTGTGACTCAGAAAGAGAACCTGCAGAGTGATCGAGGGTAGACTCATCAGATGCAACATCAACATTGTTTGAACTGAGTGGAGTGTCTGTTGTGGATTAAAGAGCATCAGTATGTAGGTCAGTGATGAAGGGAATTGAATGGATGGTTGAAGGGAAGGAACCAGTAGTAGGAGAAATAGCAAAAGGGAAAATGTCTTCATGAAAGACTACATCTCTAGATATGTGGATTCTTTTAGATTCCAGATTTAGCACTTTATAGCCTTTTGTGTCAAAAGGGTATCCAACAAAAACATGTGGCACCGTTCTGGGCTCAAACTTTTCATTATGTGTTTTTGGTATAGTAGGAAAACACAGGCAGCCAAAGCTCCTAAGGTGAGAGTAGTTTGGCTTTTTCTTGTACAGAAGTTCAAAAGAATATTTGTTCTTGAGATAGAAAGTAGGAAGTCTGTTTATTAGGTATGTAGCTGCTAGAATGCACTCTCCCCAATACCTCACAGGCAACTTTGACTGAAATAAGAGTGCCCCGGATGTCTCTAAAAGATACCTATGCTTCCTTTCAACTACACCATTCCGTTGTGGTGTGTATGGACAAGTTCTTTGGTGTACAATGCCTTGATCTAGGAAGAAAGAGATTGCTTCTGCACTATTCAATTCTAAACCATTGTCTGATCTGACTGACTTTATGGTTGTGTGAAATTGGTTTTTAACAAGAGAAACAAAAGCTTTGAGAACTTGCAGGGCATTACTCTTGCTGGATAGGAGGTGAGTCCAGGTGGATTTGCTGTGGTCATCTACCATGGTAAGAAAGTATTTATAATTGTTATATGTAGGTATATGATAGGGTCCCCACAAATCAATATGTAACAAGTCAAATATCTGGTTGGTGTTGCTGGTCCTTTGGGGAAATAGCAATCTGGTATGTCTGGCCATTGGACAAATGGAGCACATGAAGGGTTGTTTGTTAGAGAAGGTAACAGGAATGGTGGTAATGCTCTTCATTTTAACAAAAGGAACATATCCCAATCTGTTATACCACAATACATTGACATCATTGCCATGAGACAAACAAGAAAAAGGAACACAAACAGGAGTTTTATTATGAATGGATTTATGTACATTTGAGAGATAACCATATTGTGAAGAGTCCTTATCACAGGTAGTAGATGGCTTATTGCAGATGGATCTATTTACATCACGGGTGTGGGATGGAATACAAGAAACAGAAAGAGTAGATGCTGAAACATTACTAGCATTCTTCAAGCAGAGAGAACAAAGAAGGTACAACCCATCTCTGATCTTACCAATCTCCAGAGGCCTCTTCATTAAAGGGGCATGCAGAAGACAACAAGTATCAGTGAAAGCTATTAAAGACTTGAGTTGGGCAGTTAAAGAAGAGATAGATATGAGATTAAATTTGAATGATGGGACAAACATGACTCTATGCAAGGTGATTTGAGGAGCAAGTGACACACTACCAATTTCTGTCATCCTAACTCTGTAACCATTTGGGAGAGTATCCAACAAGGGATAGGGTAGTATTCTAATATCTAGCAAAGAAGATCTATTGAAAGTCATATGATGGGATGCCCCAGAGTCTAAAATCCATGTGTCAACCCAAGTTCTGAAACATTTACAATAGGTGATTAGCTTATGCTTCCGATCAGACTCATATCTCGATTAAATCTAAATCTTTCAAATAAACTAATGTGAAGTGAGGTGAAACTTGCAAGAATATATTGGTTAGAATGGTCTAAGAGAAACTTCTCTCGAATATTTCTCAATCTTAATTTAAGAGGTAGATCACAAAGCTCCTTCGATTACTTTAAAGAAGTACAAAAATAAATTAAGACATGCGTTGCAACAATGTTCAATATTATGCTCCTCTCCTATTAAACAAGATAATGAATAAAGTCACAAGTAGAGTTAAAACTCTTCCAATAAATTCAAGCAATTAAGCAGTAATCAAATCCATAA